ATCTCATATGTAATATTTATTTTTTATTTGTCGGATAAAACATGGTATTATAACATGTCTTTTTGCTTTTTAAGAGAACGGCACTACTGAGCATATAGTTGTTATCTACACGTTTTTTCTTATTATATGTATACATACACACACACATATATATATATATACACACACATACACATATATAAACCACTTATTTTCCTTTCAGATTTTCAACGTCCCATAGAACACTCTCGCTCTCCCAACAAGTGATGTGGAAAATGAGTTGGTACTTTTAATTGGTAATAACAAAATATATTTTTTCTATAATAGATTATCCAATTACAAAAAGACAATTTACCTATTACCTCAGATGATAAAAATAGCTTGGGATTTTGATATTATTATTCATGATATTATAATATTCTTATTTTATTTTTGTTTATTTACGTATTTATTTATTTACCCAACTCCAAGTAATTGGATATTCAACTACGGCTTTTATTAATCGTGGGCCGCACACCCACTATGTAAGATCAAGTTGGAGTTTCGGAATAAGATTGATGTCTGCACTGAGAATTAATGTTGAATATCCAGTTAACTAAAAAAGTAGTTGAGTATGTGTACAACAGAATTAAGGTAGTTTTAAAGTCTAATGACTGATGTAGACATCTAGTGCCTTTTTAGGACAAATAATCTTTCTTTTTTTTTTTTTTTTTCTGTGAAAGGCTAAGCTTTCTAAACTTAAGAGAATGCTTTTTAAATTGTATATATGGACATATATAAACTTAAGAGAATGCTTTTTAAATTGTATATATGGACATATATAAAAGAATTGGCAATTTATTTTCATGACTCGTTTAGTTCGTTAATTTGAGTTTTTAATTTAAGTTAATATGTGAATTTATGTGAGAACTTTTTACTGTAGTAAAAAAGTTAGATGTAACCGTTTTAGAGAGCGTTTTACTGTAGCAAAATTCGAATTCTAAATTTAAATCGGTGAAATAAACGGAACCTAAAAATACAATCATTGGAATAACTCATCACTACAAAACAAAATTAATAATGATATTAAAAAACTTTCAACGTCTGAAAAGGTCTGAATTTTTCTCTAAAACTTTTAGACACCAAAAATTTATTTCCTCGTGATTTATCTCTAAAAGATGGTGTTTGAAAGTAATAACTGTGGATTCACCTTTGAAAATTTGTTTTCAGAGACTATCTATTATTTGTCTGTATGGTGATGAATTTCGCCTGAAAAAGCAAGATTTTGGATGAAAATTTATTAGTAACTAGAAAAATTAACTTGACAAAACTAGGCTTTTATAGATGAATTTTTTTGTCTCTAAAAGTACATATAAAAAATTTAGAGGCAAAATCCAGTTGTATCTAAGAAGTACGTTTAGAAACAATCAAATGTTATGAAATAAGTATTATTTTGTCTCTAATTTGTCATATTAGAAACAAACTCTTTTCGTATTAGTTTTAAAAATATTTTTAAGATTATTTAACATTAGAAATAATCCTTTTTTGTCTCTAAAATATTTTTGGCAAGGAAAAGTTTATTTTTTTTAAAAAAAAATCTAATATATTCTCAGCAACAAATATTCAGTTTGAAAATGCATTTCTTATGTAGTCTTGTCTATTATTTATTAAGATATTGTTTTTTTACATTTTTAATTTATCTATTTCTTTAATAAAACAAAAACATCACTTGAACATCACATAAAAATGTGACCTTAGGAGATTCTATTATCAGCTCTTTAAATTTTTTCTCTCTCTTGAGGGCTAGGTTTACTCTGTTTCTTGAGTGGTCTAAGTTTTTTTCTGTGTCTGCCTCCTTCTAAGGCCAGATTTCAGCACCGCCGCTTAGCTGGTCATTAGTATCTCGGCCACAGAGACAGAGATCATGCCACCACCTTAAAGGTTCCAGAGGAAGGTTCGGCCTCATGGCTGGAGAAAGGGATCTTTGGTGAGAAGATTCAGTGTGGTTGTCGGGTTCTCAGACGCATGTGCGGAGCGGATCTGTGGTTTGGAGGTGTTGTACTATCAGGACTTCTTTTTTCTAGCGAAGCCGATGTTGAGGATAGGAGGTGAGAGTGGATGGATGTTTAGAATTGGGGATGGAATCTTGATTATGTTTGTGTTAGGATCCTGGTTGAGTCCCACATTGCTAAAGTATGGGCTTAGCATGTGGGTTTATAACCATTTGGGTACCCTCTCCCTACAAGCTAGCTTTTGGGGATGAGTTCTACCCAAGGTTATAACAATTGGTATCAGAGCATGCTCCTCCTCAGGCCCATGTTGCGGAAGGGGCGACCTGGGGAGGGGCGACCTGGAGAGGGGCGACCTGGAAAGGCCAAAGTAGGCCATCCAGAGTGGGCCATCCAGAGTGGGCCGCCGTGGACGTCAGTGTCGGAAGCGTGGTGGTATGTTAGGATCCTGGTTGAGTCCCACATTGCTAAAGTATGGGCTTAGCATGTGGGTTTATAACCATTTGGGTACCCTCTCCCTACAAGCTAGCTTTTGGGGATGAGTTCTACCCAAGGTTATAACAATTGGTATCAGAGCATGCTCCTCCTCAGGCCCATGTTGCGGAAGGGGCGACCTGGGGAGGGGCGACCTGGAGAGGGGCGACCTGGAAAGGCCAGAGTGGGCCATCCAGAGTGGGCCATCCAGAGTGGGCCATCCAGAGTGGGCCGCCGTGGACGTCAGTGTCGGAAGCGTGGTGGTATGTTAGGATCCTGGTTGAGTCCCACATTGCTAAAGTATGGGCTTAGCAGGTGGGTTTATAACCATTTGGGCACCCTCTCCCTACAAGCTAGCTTTTGAGGATGAGTTCTACCCAAGGTTATAACAGTTTGTCGGTGATAGGGATGCAGGTACTTGGGTGGATCAGCTTCTTGGGAGATTCGTTTACCATGAGCGGTAAACAGTGGCGAAGCGTGGATCTCACGCACTAGTGAAGGGTTGCTCTCCGATCCTATGTAGCATTTTATTCCCTAGTTCTTTTGCTTACGGTGGTCAGATTCGCTCCAGTGACTTCTGTGTTGGAGCTTTGTCTCTATTTAGTGGCAGTTTTTAAGTTAAAATAAAGGCGTTAGCTTCGCCTCATATGTGTTGTTTTTTTATGGGTGCATTTAGAACTCGTTCCAAAATGATTTTATTTTTTGTATGAAAATGGAAATGAAAACGTTTTCAATTTCAGATAGTAATCATTTTTGAAAATGCATTTGGTAGTTTTACCAAGAGATTATTTTCAGTATAAAAAAACCCAGTAATGTCTCTCTCTACTCGAGGAGAAAACGAAAACAAAAAATGAAAAACGACTAAAAGTAGTTTTTCATTTCTCTCTCATTTTACACTAAACTAAAAAATCGTTTTCATTTCCGTTTTTTGTCTTTAATTGTGCCAAACACAGTTTTGGAATCATTTTCATTTTTTTCTTTCTCAAAAAACGTGAAAAATAAAAAACAATAACAATTTCACACACGGCATATGTGTTTTTGTTTTCCGTTTGTAATAAGGGAGCTGGTTCTCTGACCTTCTAATTTTATTTTTATGTCTCACCCGTTTGAGTTATATCTCGACGGTGTGTTAGGTGACCTTTACTTTACATGTGTCTTTGACTCCATCAATCAGAGTATCTATCAATTGTGGATGTATGTTTTTAAAGACTTGTACATGTGCTCGATTGTGGTACCAATTTCCCACTATGGGAGTTTCGTGCACGTTTTCTTCTCTCTTGTGTTTTTACTATAAGTGGTGGAACTAGTCACTGATTGGGGTTAAGTTCAGCTTGTATGGAGAGGTCACATATAAGTCAATTCCCTGCTACAAGTGCTTGTTGGCTTTCTACCTTCTGTTTGAGTTACTCTTGTTGAACCTTAAGAACATGCTGAGTAGTTATGATCGATGTTCTTATTCCCTTACAAGGAAGGGGCCACTAAGCATGTTAAACCCGGTTTTTCCACCGCAAAGAACAAGTGCGCATATTTTTACCTCATCTACACGGATTAAATGGGTCTACTCATTCCGTTGCATTGTTGCTCATTTGATTCAACTCAATCATTTTAATTGGATAAAATATATTTTTCTATAATAGATAACACTCCAATCACAAACGAATAATTCACTTATGACCTACTTAACGAAAACAAATTTAGTAAATAACATAAGGATTTTCGTTATCATTCGTAATATTACAATATTCTGACCTTATTTTAAATGTGGTCTCAACTCCAAGTAATTTTGGTATTCAGCTACGGTTTTTATTAATCATGGGCTGCACTCCCCACCATGTAAGATCAAGTTGGAGTTTATAAGATAAGATCGATTCTACACTGATGAAGAGAATTAATGTTCAATATCCAGTTAACGAAAGTAGTTGAGTATAATGACCTCATATGGTTGGAGGAGAATTCCCCTCCAATTAATTATGTTATTATAATGGATGCTTTATCTCCATCGCTATCTAGCAGTTTTTTATTTTTATTTTTATTTTATTTTATTTTATTTTATTTTTTTAAAGCGTCGCTATCTAGCAGTTAAGAATTTTAGCTCCTTAATCCTAAGAACCAATTATACAATGTATTCTCATCGACATAAGAGACATATATATGCTACATGTGAAGATCAATTAATACTTAGTCAATGTGAGAGCCCAATTTCTTAATAATCGCCCTATGACATTTCAACATAAGACTATACTAAATTAAATAGAACTTTTTTCTTTTTGAGACGATGATGTTGTTGCATATGAGATTGAAAACTAATATATATAGCTAGATCATATAATTTATGTAATTGTTTTAGAAACGCCAGGTCATGTAATTAAAAGCTAGGTATATTATATAATATGCCCATATTTAATGGTCACATACATTTTAGGTACCATATAAAATCTCATTTCTACCAACATTTGAGTAACATGACATCATTTGACTGGAATTATAATAGATGGGATAAAATATATTCTGAATAAAATGATATCTGTTGTCTTTTTTTTCTTCAAGTTAGCTATCTCCATAATATTAAATAGCTCATTTCCAAATCTCTCTCTATATATACTTAAATACACCTCTCCGTCTCCACAAAATCTTTCTTTCACTCTCTACTATTAGTATAATATCTTTCTAGCCATGGAGCTCCTCATGGAGATATCCCTTTTCTTGGCAATTTCATACGCCTTTTTCTACCTCACCAAATCCCTCCTCCGAAAACGACACCAATGCTGCTACATGCTTGCCTTCGAGTGCTACAAACCGCCGGAAGAAACCAAGCTCAGCACCGACGCCTGCGCCAAAATAGTCCTCCGAAATGGAAACCTCGGACTTGACGAGTTCCGCTTCCTCCTCAAGACCATCGTCAGCTCCGGCATTGGCGAGGAGACCTACTGCCCGAAGAACGTCCTCGAGGGCCGTGAAGAGTCTCCGACGCTAACCGACGCCATCTCCGAGATGGACGAGGTAATCTTCACAACCCTAGACAGCCTCTTCGCAAAAACCGGGGTCTCGCCGGCGCAAATCGACATCCTCGTCGTCAACGTCTCGCTCTTCTCGCCCGCGCCGTCGCTGACGTCGCGGATCGTGAACCGGTACAAGATGAGGGAGAACATCATGTCGTATAACCTCTCCGGGATGGGCTGCAGCGCCAGCATAATCGGCATAGATCTCGTCCAACACCTCTTCAAGACTCATGAAAACTCCTACGCTATTGTCGTCAGCACCGAGTCCTTCGGCCCCAACTGGTACTGCGGCAAAGAGAAGTCGATGATGCTCTCGAATTGCCTGTTCCGGTCCGGCGGTTGCTCCATGCTGTTCACTAACAAGAACGAGCTAAAGAAGAAGGCGATTCTGCAGCTGAAATGCCTCGTACGGACGCATCTCGGAGCTGACGATGAAGCGTACGAGTGTTGCATACAGTTGGAGGACGAGAAGGGGTACGAAGGGTTTCGGTTGACGAAGAAGCTTACGAAGGCGGCGGCGAAGGCGTTGCGGCTTAATCTCCGGATTCTGGTGCCCAAAATCCTGCCGGTGAGGGAGATTCTAAGGTACTGGATTGTTAACCTAATTAGGAACAAGAGCAATAAGGGCGATCCACAACTTACGAGTAGTGGTGCGAATAATTTGGATTTCAAGACCGGGGCAGAGCATTTTTGCATCCACCCCGGTGGGCGAGCGGTGATAGATGGGGTCGGGATGAGCTTAGGGTTAAGCGAGTATGATTTGGAGCCGTCGAGGATGGCGCTTCATCGGTTCGGCAACACTTCGGCGGGCGGGTTTTGGTACGTTTTGGGGTACATGGAGGCAAAGAAGAGGCTCAAGAAAGGAGATAGGATTTTGATGATGAGTTTTGGAGCTGGGTTTAAGTGCAACAATTGTTTGTGGGAGGTTATGAGGGACTTGGATGATGTGAATGTGTGGAAAGGGATTATTGAGAGCTATCCTCCAAGCTCACTTGCTAATCCTTTTATGGAGAAGTATAGTTGGATCAACGATGATTATCTTGGCTTTGTTCGCCTTGAGCGTTAATTAGCATATATATATATATATATATATATATATATATATATATATATATATATATATATATATATATATATATATATATATATATATATATATATATATATATATATATATATATATATATATATATATATATATATATATATATATATATATATATATATATATATATATATATATATATATATATATATATATTGCTAATTACAAAACTATGGTTTTCATCAAAGCTACTTTATGTCATAGGTATGTTTCAACTTTCATGTTTTGTTTGTATTTGCCAAAAGTGATTTGAATATCTATTCTTTGGAAGCATCAATTACAAGCTATAATTGGTGCAACCAAATTGTTATCATTTTTTTTTTTTGCAACAAAAAAAAAAGCATAGAAAAAAACAAAAGGATGAATAAGAATGTTGTATGTCATTATTGGTGATAGATAAGCACATGTAATATATGGTGATCTAATTAATCACTAGTACCAGTTATCTTTGTAACATTTTTTTTTTGTTTCACCAAAATGTGATTGTATTTTCAAGCACTTAAGTCTCAATGTTTGTTTCTTCTTATTTGACCATGACTAAAACTTGTCACATCCCTATAGAGTAGTACCATGGATTTAATGGATTTATAGTGGTCTTAACTCTGTGTACTAGAATTACCTTCTCAATAGTTTACATTATTGCTGCTTCTAAATAAGTTTCCCCGTATTGCAGTAGCCAGTAACTATTTTTGATTCTAAAGAAAGATGTACCCTAGAATTCATGGTGAATGATAAAAGGCGTCCTTTTATTTTTTAGACTTCTATAATAGAATTCAAGGTCAAATTAGCAGGAGGAAGCTTTTTTATTTTCTAGCATATGACTAGAAGGAAAAAAAAAGTAAATAATTATTTCTTACTTGGAGAGGAGATAGATTAAAAGAAGAATCCGAACTTTACTTGAAATTAAATTAATTTTCAATAGTACTTGCCATCTAACTGTTTTATGGCCAGTGAAAGCATATGCTCTCTTTGAATCAAGTCATAAATCCTGTCACTTATTGTTGAATGCCTTGTCAGTGACTCTTTATTGATTGGTCAGTCCTCTCACTGTCCAATAAATGTTAATTTTTTTAGCCAATTTTTATAAGATAAAATAAGATAAATAAAAGGCAGCTATACACTCTACAAAAATAAATAAATAGGGAGTTTTTATGGTATGATCATTTTTTATTTTTTTGTTATCAGATTTGTATTAGAAATTGTCTATTTTATATACTTTTTTAATTTAATGATTTTATCGGTAGGCCGGACAATTGAAAACTCGAGGATATACCCAATTGTTCCTGTTTGTGCTAACCTTTTCGTCAAAATATTCGTGATCGTTTGACATTGTGCCAAGAAATATTTATAGTTGATTGAGAGTGTGTTCACCCACGGAGAAAAAAAAAAGGAAAAAGAGGAGTTTTCCTTTTAACATACGATTCCAAATAATTAACATGGAAATGAGTCCAAATATACTTATTTGAATTAAAATCTACTTATACACCCTTTATATGTATACATATTATAAACCAATGATTATTTATTTGCATAAAAGGTATTTTGGATATTAAATTAATAAGATTGTTACTCTCAAATATAGAAAACACTAAAAAATGAATTAGATTATTTCTCGTTATACTTTCGATTTGTTAATAGGTTTGTATGGCATAACTTCTTGAAAATTGCTTTAGGAGTGGTTTGCATAGTCTTTCATAATAGTATTGTTTCTCTAGATCGAGCTTTTGAACAGATTAGAAAAGATACCTTCTCAAAAAACAAAAAAACAAAACAAAAAAACAAAACAAAAAAAACTCCTTTAAAAATACTTTAAAACTTGTATATTTAGAGTTTTAATAAAGCTCTTTTATAAACTTAATTATTTAAGCATCGTCATTGTTTATTAGAAAGTTTACATATATATTATTTTTGCCCTATTAACTTCTAATATATTTGGTTCCAAATGCTTAACTTAAAACTATACTTAATACCTTTTTTCTTTTTTCTTTTTTTTTCCAAAAAACACATTGAAAAACTGTAATGAAAACTCATCCAATATATACATATATATATATATGTATATTTATATATTTGTAAACGTCACTCGAGAACTTAAACCTTAAATGTATGCCGTTGTTGGTTTAAGAATTTAAAATTCACGAAGTTGCTAGCAGTGGTAGACAATCTACGATTGGTAAAGCTTAGTACTGTATTAATTTTCCAACATGGAGACAGTTCTTCAACTTTGAATTGGACAAGCTGTGAGGCGTTAAAGGCTGCTTTTTCCCTGTAGTTTTTAAGTCATGTAGTGCCTGCCTTTTCTATGACCAATATTAATAGTCTTCCTTTTTAAATATATATATATATATATGTATATATATATATATATATTTCATTCAAAATCATAAAAATACAAACACTAATTATTTAGACATGAAAGATCTCAACACAAATAGCAACTCAACCCCAATCATAAACCGAAACCAACGGTAGTTTCGATTAAAATGCTCAAGAGGGTAAAACATGTACCGAGTTCCAATAAATGGAAACGGAAGAGGCATACAACTAATCGAGCAATCAAATAGCTCTTTCAAAACACCACTATAGATGGTGGATAACTCCAATCAATCAAGATCGAGAGACTAAAAACACCAAAGCCTAACACAACACTGCAAAAATACCAACTTATAGACTCGACATAAAGACACTGAAAAGTGAAGAGATCACTTCCGTTGCTACAATAAGCTGTAACACACTAAAGCTAAATTGTTAAAACATCGATGTCTTTATTGGACGAAAGTAAAAATTAAAACAATTGGGAAAAGCCCTTATGACACCAAACAAGGAAGAGCAAGGGAGCTGCCGCACTGCACACAAGGTAAAAAGGCATTAGAATAGGGTTGATCGTCCAATGCACGGGAAACTATGCGCCACCAGCCATCCACCTCCGAATAATGGAAAGTGCCTCACGTAGAAAACCATCGCCACACGGGCACTAAATTCTCCATGACACAGAGTCACCTAAGCATCCACGCGCCACCAACCTACATGGAGAACCATGACCCCACCGCTCCAACGCCAACTCAACCACCACCCCGCACACACGTTCCATCGTTGATGAGTGAGTATTTTATTTACAAATCAAGTACTTTTGAGCTTGAGTATTTGTAAGTTTTCAAGCATTTTTGTTAGTTTAATGTATTTTTATTTTGTTTTTGTAGGTTGAAGTTAAAATTGAATAAAATGAGTGAAAATTTGACTTCAGAACATACTTCAGTATTTGGGGCATAACTTTATCATCCAAAGTCCAAATGAGCTGATCTTGGTAACGTTGGAAAGATAAGAGATAGAACTACAACTTTTGTGGAGACACCAAATACTAATTTGGCCATGAAGAAGGCAAAAATCCTCCTCAAAATCAAACATCCACTATAGCGGGAAATCCATCCGCTGCAGTGGATTTCCTGCTCTAGACCAGCCCAAAACGTGCGCTACAGCACATGAATGGCGAACTGCAGCGCCCATTTGCCCCACTCATCCTTACATTGGAAAATTGATCCGTTGCAGCGCCTCCACACGAAATGCTGTCAATTTGAGCTGGTTTGGAAAGATATAAAAAGGGAGAAGACTTATTTTCCCAAGATGGTAGAGAATTGGGAAGGAAACACAAGATAGAGAGCCAAAATTCCTAGAGAGAAGAGCTTAAGTTGAAGATTCTTGGAGGATTCATGGTGGATTCTTAGAGGATTCATGCTTGAAGTTCATCTCTACAAGAGTTCGTTCTTCCTTTCTCTCACCCTAGTCTTTCTTGAGATTTATATTTGTGGATATTGTGCTGAACATATTTTCATTTATGGATTTCTTGATAAGATTAGTTATGGATTTCTCTATGTTGAGTTAGATTTCTTATGTTAAGGGGATTGATGTAACTTTATCATGGAAATATTTTTAAAATTCTAGTGCTTGTTAATTAAATTCATTCCTAATCATTTGTGTTTCTCTATGTTTATTGTCTAATTTGATTATCCATTCAATTAGAGATTTAGATATGTGGATTTAGTCTTGGAAAAGTCATTTGTACATATTGAGATTTGGGAAACACAACCTAAGTTTATTGAGTTCAGGAGGCCAATATAATTTAGGTAATCACTAAATGGGTTTATGCTTAATGAACGCTTAATGGATTAAGTTAATAGGGATATTACTTGATTTACTTTGAGTACTATTTTGCTTGCCACTCGGGAGAGGGAGTGAGATTACATTAGAAAACCTGTGATTAACGATTAGAGTGAAATTTCTTAACGAGCTCTTGATTTGGATAGACATTGTCTAGTAAGGTGAAATCAAAACCTCTAGCTAGCACTTATTATAGAGTTCCCTTCGATCCACCTCTTTTTACTTGATTTATTAGTCTACTTTTATTATTTTAATTAGTTTGTTCTCTCAATTAGGTTGCCTAGGTAAAGTTGAGTTACGATAATCGCGGTATTTAGCAGCAATCTAATACCCAATCCATGTACAGATGATATTCACTCATCATTTACTATCAAAACTTGACACTGTACTCATGCATGTTTACAATCGTCCCCCCCGCCCCCAAAGGATGACTAGCACACAAACGCCCCAAAGGATGCAGCCAGCCTACACTAGAAAACACTCCTGAACCAAGGCTTCGTCAGAAGCACACCAGAGGAAACAAAACCGCACCACTTAGAGACCCTCCCAAGGGGCTGGGAGTCTGGAGCCAAGCCCAGTGCCGGACTCTATCCCTTCGATTCCAACAGGGACGGTGTAAAGAAGAGAGAGAGAAAAGGAGAGGGAAGAAACCTAGGAGAGGAAAAGGCAAACACTTGAATATTAAGGTCCCGTTCATTTCACCTATTTAAGTTTAGAATTCGAGTTTTTCTACAGTAAGAAAACTCTAAGAAACAGTCACATCTAGTGCTGGAACTTTGGACGGACCACCCACGACCGCCTGAAAA